TCGACATCTTTGATATGTTTACATGACACTTTGAAGTTCAGTCTTCCAGATAAGTAACATGGGGGTGTCCATGGGTGTATTTCTGTGGCAGGATGGATTAAGGTGCAAGCTGGATGGAGTTCTCACCATCCCAGGCACCACACCATTGTCTCAAGCAAAGGATTTTCTCACCTCCTCTTACATGTCCAGAAAACAAATCCTCTTGGCAACTCCTATGCTAGCCTGCATGACCTTCTCATCTGCTGATAATGGCTTCCACATTAGGATCATAGAGGGCTTAATTGTGATATTAAAGAGAAGGGATTTAGGTATGAGGGGCCTAACAATGCAAGCTAATTATGTAGTGGTTACCCATTTTACTAGGAGATATAGCTCAGGAATGAAGCATTTCTCAAAGTTTCACCTTTCAATAAAGGAAACCACAGATGTTGGTTTGATTTACTAATCAGTGTTGGTTTATGGTTAATCCCTCCATTCCCCCAGCTCCTCTCTAGCACATGCCAGAGGGATTTAGAAATGGAACAATGGAGTCAAAATATAAGTTTGAACGTGTGTTTGCCCATGTCTGCAAATTATCTAGTGACTTATGGCAACCCCATGAATTTAATAGGTTTTCTTAGGCAAGGAATACTCAGGGGGTACCCACTGGTTAAATCAAACTAATTAAAGTCCTACATATTTCTCAGTTCCTCTAGCATACAGAGGACCTGAAGGAATGAAAACTTTATATTTCTTTTCCTGTTAAAGGAGTACCTCTAACTAGAAACTAGTAAAAGTTTATCAAATACACCATAACTTCAAAAACAATGGTTTGTAATAAGGTTTATTCATACTAAGAATACATGTATCAAATAAGCAACTTTCTGTACATAGGTTAAGTGCCTCGTAAACAACTGTTTTTGCTATTGCAGCCAAAGCACATGGTCCCAACTGTCCTTTATCAAGACTCCAAAACTGATTATTATTATTGGTGGTATCATATGTTTTCTATGGACATCTAATCAAAATAAAAACCGAAGACATTATAGCCAATTGGAAAAGCTACTAATAGAATTAGCTCCTTGCAATTTATTTACTTCTTACAAAGTATTCTGAGTGACCATCTCACACTATGCTAAAATCCAGTTATTTTAAAAGAACATAGCAACCCCCCGCCAAAAGTGACCTACAACCTATGCTCCATTCATTAAGAATCAAATGTTTGCCTTTTTTCCTCTGCTCTAAGAGTGCACACAGACACACACACACACACAGACACAGACACAGACACACACACACACACAAAATCATCTCATCTTCTTATGAATGATTCAGCAATACATCAAAAAATTAAATTCAGTTATTCATATTCTCCTGAGGTTCTGCTACAGAGTGGAATATGCTCCACTTTTAAGATGCCTAACTAAACCTTGTTGCATATGCATTACAGAATTAGACTTTAAACAGAATTTTAGTGTAGCATATCAGAATTCTGATAGACTTGTACTACAATTAATAAACTATTCAGGCTACAAAGAAAACTGGGGAGAAAGGGGCTTGCCATGAAGGACTATGCTTTCTCCACTCTTCACACTCTATTATTTAAAAATGTTTCTGTCATTCTAGTTATAAAGATTACTTAATCTACTGAAAGAAGAGAAGAGAACAACCTTTTTTTGAAAGTAAAATATTGGTCATACAACCAACATCCTCTCAATTCAGTTAGAATGGAGAATCAGGGAAGCCAAGTCTACTGGACAAAGGTTCTCTCGCTCACTTGCAAGCACTCACATGCAAGACACAATCCACAAAATATCTTCATTGGACTAACCATTGGAGAGAGGGGAATTCTATAATCATACTTCTAGAAAGTTGGTGAAATTATTCTATTACACATTTGTTCAGAAGGAGTTTGCCTTTGCCACTGCCATTGCTGGGGCTGAGTCTGACTATCCTAAGGTCACCCAGTGGGTTTTGATGCTCAAGCAGGGAATCGAACCCTGACCTCTAGAGCTGTAGTCCAACACTCAAACCACTACACCAGGGGTAGGCAACCTAAGGCCCGGGGGGCGGATGCGGCCCCCTGAGGTCTTTGGACCAGCCGCCGCCACCACCACTGCCCCCTGCCGCTTCCCGCCATGATGATATTGATTATTGTTATTACTTGTTCTTGGGGTTTTCTTGGCAAAATCTCCACAGGGGTTTTGCCATGGCTCTTCTGGGGCTGAGAGAGTGTGCATGCATATTTTTTTAATTTAAAAAAAATTTATTTATTTATTTATTTATTTATTTATGGTGCTTCAGGCCCCCAATTGTCTGAGGGACAGCAACATGGCCCCCAGCTCAAAAAGGTTGCCTACCCCTGCACTAAACCATGCTGGATCTTGGGAGTAACTGGACCTTATTCTAAGTAGACATATCTAGTGCTATCTGACTACAATTTCAGGAATATTTATATGGGAACAAGCAACAAAGACTTGGAAGGGCAACTATGAAGCAGCTTAAGTGTACAGATATGTAATATAATACTAAAGTTAGGGTTATATATGCCATCGTAGTTTCAATTTCTAATTGGAGATTTCCTGTGGTGGTGAAAGTTGGACAGTTAAACTGATAGGAAGAAAATCAACTAATTTGAAATATGGTGCTGGATAAGAATTCTATGGCTACTGTGGACTGCTAAAAGACAAATAATTGGATACTAGAGCAAATAAAGGCTGAACTCTCCCTGGAAGCCAAGAAGATGGAAGCGAGACTGTTGTGCTTTGGCCATACCCTGAGAAGACATGACTCACTGGAAAAGACAAAAATGTTTGCAAGGTAGAGGGCAGTAGAAAGAGAGGAACACCTCCTTACCTAGGGGTAGGCAACCTTTTTGAGCTGGGGGCCGGGTTGCTGTCCCTCAGACAATTGGGGGGCCGAAGCACCAAAAATAAATAAATAAATAAATATTTAAAAAGTAAAATTAAAAAAAATATGCATGCACACTCTCTCAACCCCAGAAAAGCCATGGCAAAACCCCTGCGGAGATTTTGCCAAGAAAACCCCAAGAACAAGTAATAACAACAATAATATCATCATGGTGGGCAGCGGTGGCGGCCCCCGGGCCTTAGGTTGCCTACCCCTGTCCTTACCGATGGATAGACTCGATCAAGGAAAGCACGGCCCCGAGTCTGCAAGACCTGATCAGGACTATTGACAACTTGACATCAGTTAACAACTACTATAACAAGACATGGGCCTTTGCAGACTGCCAGAAATAGTGCACATTAAATTGAGGCACTGCCCTGGCTCAGTGCTAGGGAATCATGGGAATTGTATTTTTTTCTGAGAAATTGAGCCTTCTCTGTCAGAGAGCTCTGGTGCCACAATAAATTACAGTACCCATGATTCCCTAGCACTGAGCCAGGGCAGTGCCTCAATTTAATGTGCACTATTTCTGGCAGTCTGCGAAGGCCCATACTAGGTAATGTGCAACTTGTTTCTGAGTAGCATGCATAGGTGCCCTGTAAGAGATATCTATTCAGAATTATACTAGAAAAAAAGACATTTTCCAAACATGCAACAACAATGTGGAAATGGAAACCAAATTCAAATTTGAATGCATAAGAAATGGCAGAAGCATTTTAAAAATGCCAAAGCACTAAAAAGTAAATGACAGCCTAAAATCCTTTTTATTGTTGTCAAAGGCAACACTACTCTAGAAATATGTTTCTTTGCAGCATATAATTGCACCCTATAAATAGGGGGGGGGGAATCTATTTATGGAAGGAGTAAAGCAGTAGCTCCATTCTGGAATGGAAACACGAATATAATCATTGCTTTAATGCCGAACTCTCAGCACCACATTAAAAATACAACAATTACAAAAAGCTGTAAGCAAAACAGCTATATAAAACAACTAGGAAGCAAACTATCTTCTACATTATCAGATTCACATTATACTAAATGCCTCCATAATTTGTGACATGCCAAATTGAATATAGCTCACTAGTTAATACTGCAGCTTGCCTGCCAAAAATTGAAAATCCCTGTTTTCACATTCCCAGGTGTTAAATAGAGAAGTTTTATCAAACTCTAGTGGACTGTGAGACTTGGCCAAAAAAAGGGATTTTGGGGCATACTAGCCAGCAGTATATATAAATTATATATGAGAAGTTGTGTGATAACAATTTAGAACATGTGGACTTCACTAAAGTAGTTTTGGTGGGAAATTTCGAAATTAAGTGCATATGCCAGCATAGATGCTCCAAGGAGAAAATAAACATACACTTGTGACAGGTTGAAATAAGGCATTTCTATTTCAAATACACGTATTAGTTCAAAATATTAACAGGAAATGACACAACATTTGTGTTAGCCTTCTGATGCAATCTGTAAGAATCCTACAGACACAGTAAATACAAGAAGCAACTCTTATTATTTTGATAACATACTGACAAATATTTATAACAGAAAGATACAACTTACCACAAGTTTGTTTCCAGTATGTTTACAAGTAATATTTTTTTTAAAAAAAAAACTGCAATAAAATAAAATTTCACTTGATTTTCACACAGCGAGCAAAGATATGCAGCAACTAATGGCACAATTATTACCTTTAGTCATTGTGATGCTGAAGTACAGTGGTACCTCTACTTACGAATG